TTAAAATTTTAAAAGTGAACATAACTGTGGCTAATTCATGTACAATATCTATTTTTTTGTACAGATAAAAAAAACTAACCTTTTTTCTATGATAAGAATTTTATGAAAAGACTGATTTGTTTATTTTGCGATTCATTGAGGGCCCGACCGGGGCAAAACATGAAAATTGATGCAACCAAGTAGATTGTATTTTCATGTTTTCAATCTGGCGCCCTGGTTACTTTTTGTACTTTTCCATGTTGGTTTTTCATGTGGCACATTAAATCACCCACTATAAAATTTAGTGTACAAATTTATTCAAGGGCAAGTAACAATCTACTCTATGAAAATATGGTTGTCGGGTTGACTCAGGAGACTTGGAGGATTGAGACTGGTGTCCCTCCATTAAGATAAGGCAGAAGCTTGTCCATTTCAAACTATGCACCCAGTTAGAAAAAAAATAGAATGTAAAACTATTCAGAATATGATTTGTTTTGAGACTTTATCAATTATATTGGCTGGAATCCATTTTGAGATTTCAGGACATTTCAATCAATGGCATGTATTTACCATTTATAACTTTAAATGAAAGTCTCAATCTTTTAAAAAAATGACATAAAAATGTAACTCTTTAAATTCAGAAATATTATAAATCACATATATCAAAAATACTAAAATTTACAGTATGCACATAAATTAATAATTTCCCCGGGTTTTTATTAAATAAAATGAAATCCAACATTAAAAATTCAGGTTTCTTTAAAGGAGGAATTCAAAAACTAGTAGAAAGGAAAAATATAATATATAAACCGTTATAGATCATTATTAGCCAGCCCCAAAACTGGGTATTCATCTTTTAAACCCGTTGACCTTTATTATGTTTTTTCATTTAAAATTTAAAACAAGTTTTCATCCACAACTTGGGAAGTCTTTAATAAAGAAAATAACCCTTATACCAATTTTACTATGAACACTTTTATGAACATTTTCATAAAAAAATTCTCAGGTCCCTAAAAAATAAATATAACATCCTATTAACATTGGTTTTTTGGGTGGAATTCAAAAATTTTTAGGGAAAAAAAAACTGTAAAGTACATAGTTTTTTAGTATAAAATTAAAAAAAAAAACTCAAAAAAAATTTTATTAAAATTTTAATTTGTGGGGGTTTCCAAAAAAATTAAATGATATCTCTTACAGTAAAAAAACTGTCCCCATTTAAAATTTCTATAAAAATAACTGTAATATATTTAAGTGTTTTTTAAAAAGAGGACCCCCTATGTATAGCTTAAAAGTCTAAACCCTTTTTATTTAACAAAGGGTTTTTTTATGAGCAAATTTCATTCCAAAAAATACAAAAAAATAATTTCAAAATTGATTAGGGAAAATTCCCTAGCAGAAAACCTGAATGTCTAACTGAAAAAACTTTGAAAAAATTGGGCAAGGTATTTTAAAGCCCAGTAAAAAATATAAAAAAAAAAATCAATTCACTCATCATGGCCTCTATCCTTTTGATTAATACCTTACCCTGGTAAATTTGAAACAAAAATAATAAGTAAACCCTAACTTCAAACCTAAGATAGACCGAAAAAACAGATTAATTTAGTAAACCGGAGTTACTTCCCCCTTAAAAATAGAAAAAACCTGAAAACCCAAAAGAAAACCCAAAACATCAAAATTAAGAAATGTTGCAGGAATCAGTTTTATTAAGCCATATACAAATTCATGGTAAAGTATCTAAAAAAAAAATGGGATGGCCATTTACGCAGTTTTACAGAAAATCGGATAGCTTCAACATCCGGAGTACTGGTACACCTTGTAAAAACAACCATTTCTATAAAGATAAACGTAATTTTTAAAAAATTAATAGGATAATTCGTTTATAATAGTTCATTACCTTATCCTTTATACTAAATTGGAAAGGTGTGAACTTTTCTTCTTGTAGGAAAATTTTTTAAATAAAATTAAAGAATGAACGGATGGGTACCCGTAACCCGGGATAATTAGACCACAACGATAAATTTGAAAACCGTGTTTTAAAGTATTCAAACTTTTTCAAGTGTGGGCCCAAAGGATTTTTCGAAATTTTGTAAATAAAATCACGCTGACATTTCGCCTGGTTGATAAAAATACTTTAATTATATGTTTTAAAGGAAAATGTTTTTTTGTAAATTTGCACGGGAAAGGGCTGTCAATGGGTTCGTAAAAAGCCAAAAAAAGTCGGGTGTAAAATCACCCATCACAATAAACACGGGGGTTGAAAAGCCGTGAAATTTAAAGGAAACCGAAAAAAAATCACCCGGGAAATTTTCCATTTTTTAAATATTAAAAGTAGGGTTTTTAACATCCCCTGCCAAAAAAGGTAAACAAGTGAGGCATTTAAACATTTGAAGAATACCTGATTTACAAAAAAATTCACCATTCATTTAAATTTAATATTTAGAAAGTGGATTCTACAATGTTTTTGTAGTATACGGTAAATTTAAATTCTAAATCCCATTGTGGTCTTATCTATTTTTTGGGTGGTTGACTAAATGGAACGAAGGACAGAATGAAACAGTTCTCAATATTTGTTTTAATTTTGAAAATAATTGATGTAAAATATGAACATTATTCAAGAATGTTCTGGTTTCCTTCACAAAATTTTATTCCATTTAGGCATCAGCGTTAGCCAAAACGATTTTTATCAATATACCTTCTAATTGACGATTATTGCGATTTCCAAAAAAACCAATATTTTAAATTAATAAACATGGCTCAGAAACCTAATTGTTAAAAATCGTAGTTCCATTTTAAAAAAACCTTGGATGAAGTTAAAAACCAAAAAAACAATAACAACAACAAAAATAAATAAATAAGAAAAATAAAAGGGAAAAATGTTTTCGAAAATAAAGTTACGCTTAGACTGCATGCATATTCAAGAATTATTTCATTGTTTGGTTGTGATTTCTTCGAAAGCCTTTTTATTTCTGATTTTTCTTGTTATAGTTTCTATGAGATAATTATTAGCAAACTTGTCCGAACATTCTTTTATTTTGGTGCTTGTTGGCAGTTAGTACAGTTATAGTGATTTACTATATTATATGGAAGTCAAAAATACTATTGTTACATTACAAATAATTTCACAGTCACGGCGTCACGTACTTTTGGTAGAAAAAGCATCTAACATGCTCTAAAACCATTCCTTAAACGTTAAATTATTGATATTTGCATATTTGCCATGTTTGCAAAGAAGGATTTTTTCGTTTCTGAGGCATAAAGTGCCTTTAAATATACGTTTGTCAAATGGCATGTTACTGGTGTGCACTTGACATCGTCATAGTAGAGCTTTCACTTTTATCATTGTCATCTGAAGGTACACCGGGAACTGACATTTTCAGTCCATTTTTACAAAATACATGTATATAGATTAAAAACATTATGCTTGATTATTTCTGTTGTGAATAATATAGTGCCCCCACCTCGTGCCCCACCTCGTGATGCCGTAACAGTTAAAGTTTTAAAAAGCCAAAAAAAAAAATTACCTTTTTTAATATTTCTGTTTTAAAAACAGAAAATTTATCGTAAAACAGGGGACTAGATATATAAAATATCTGTATCTTTGACTGATCAAATATATTTAAATCATTATATTGTCATGAATATGTATGTTTTATGTTAAATTAAGAGTTATATGTCCCTTTATATTTATCATACTGCAAAAATGAAAAGAACGACTGACTTCGTTCGAAGATAAGTTTATTTCTTCAGCATCCCGTAAACTTCGGGACAAGAGGCCCATACGAATTCATCGGGTTATTAGGCAGTGTCTATTTGCGAGAAAATATAGTTATTCTTACAATTTCCCAAATTTGTCAATGTCTAATGAAGGGAAGGGGGACATTAAGAATATCACTGTTATTTTTTCTGTTACTGTATAAACGTATCTATATCACTGTTCCTGTACAAAGGCAGGAGCATGACATGTTAGCCGCCATTTTACCATGCCACTTGAAAAATAGTTCCAATATGTCGCCTTTTATTATGGCAAAAAGCAATAGCAAGATGAGATCCGATTAATCGATAGGATACTTCTATCTGGCTCACAAACAGTTTTTAAGTTTCAAGTTTTATTGAATATAAATCCTTAGTTTGGCATATTTACAATACAAAAACAAGAGACAAATACATTTGTAATAATAGTAATAATAAACAGTCGTCAATACATGGTTATGCACATAATGTTTTCTGAATGGGTTATTGGGCAACAAAAAATTAAATAATGCTATCAGATTGCCCTCCTATTAGACTAAAATCAATGAATGAATCTTTATATCGATTAACTTATCATTGGTGCGTGACATTTTAAATCACATTGTTTAATCTATGTCTGAAATACTGAACCTATATTTACTATAGCGGTTCGGGTTATATAATCAAACAGTCGTTTATATATAGCATTATAACTTGTCAAAACTATTTATAATCTAAAAATATAAATCATTGAAAATTGATCGCCGTAACGTATGAGCTGCGTCACGCGGCTCTTATATCGAAAGAAATATCGGTGTTAAATAAAGAAAGAGGAACTATATATATATATGTAAACGATGGGCATATTTCTCAGTTCTTGAATTCGGAAGCATACTAAAGACCCTTCCAGCCATTGAATAATAAGAGATTATTAGGGTCGGAAGGTGATACTCGGCCTGGTAAACTATAATAAGAGATTAATACATAGCAGAGCAGTGCCGGACGATGATAATCGACCCGCAAAATCAAAAATGACCCTGGAGCCTCATAATCAGTTCAAATCATAGTCATTTTGTTTCTTTATGTGTATATTTAGTAACAAGTGTAACTACCGATCAAATGCAAGGTCTATACAAACCTCTCTTGAAAATTACTTCTCTTGCCAAAATATGTCCTAAAATTCATGTTATAACCCCCCCCCCCCCCCTCCCCAAGTCAAAAATGGGTCTATTATTTTAAATTCAAACTTAACATACATATTTCAGAATGGTTGTTAGTGTTTCGTGGGAACACCAGGTATCGGTGGTGATATATATACAGCATGGGTTGACGGAATCGGCGTCACCGTAGATGACGTCACATGCATGACGACTGACGTGACTACTTGCGATAAGAATTATCGTAATCCAATCGTTGATTCTTGGAGTTCAGTAGGAATGCAACAGGTACAACAGACTTTCAACAGAGAAAATATGATTGAATCATTTTATTTTATTATGAAACATAAATGAAGCTAAAAATTTGCATCAGTCAATAATACAGTTTGTTCAAATGTCCATCAACCTCTTAATACTTTCCGCTCTGCAACTTTCAGTCAGTAAATAAGCAAATAAACACTAATAAGATTTTCTTTTTTTAAATCTTGTTGTTATACACTTTCTGTATTTAAATCATTTTTAAAGATTCTGTTACACAATTTTTTCATGGTTTTATTTCATAAATATGATGCTAAAATTAAGATTTGTCAATATTGTAAGTTCAAATAAGCATTTTTTATAAAGAGATTACCCAATTTAACATTTCATGTAAATAAAGGGAGGTACATGTAATTAGAAATTTATTTTCTGTAAATTTTAAGTCAAAATTTCCAAAAAAAAAAAAAAATGAATGCATGTAATTTATTGATTAAATATAATGTGCACAAATATTTGCAGTACACATTTTACATATTCTTCGGTGTTTGAAAATTGTTTTTTTTTTGCATAATTATATACATATATAATTTTTTTTGCAAGTGTGGTATACACACAGTAATAATTTCAATCACAAAACATACAGGATCTTTAAAATCCATTAATTGTTCAGTAAAGTAATAGCTTATAATATTATGGTTTGATTCTCAAGCTTCCACCATGAATGTCCTTTATATTATTAACAAAGTAAAAGTAACCGGTGATAAATCAAATGTCCATACATTACAAAATATAAGTTCAAAAATAACTTAGACTGTATCACATTGCCCTATTGAATTTTGGGATTCATTTACTGAACGACCTTTTTTTCTTACCAGGTAAAATTTGCTTTTTACAAGGACAACGAAGAAGCTGCCTTCGTGATATTTGACGCGACCGGAAGTACAATTACCAGCTGGTTCTCTTCATCAAATATTGTGGATTCATCATGGACCACACTTGCCACAGATTCTTTTAATATTTTCTCCATCTATGGGTGTGTAGCTTCATTCTAAGCCATTTCATAAAACCTAAAGTGTCAAGGAAAAAGAACAACAGACAAACAAACAAAATAAACAACTACAACAATATCTTTTGAAAGATATCAGCTTAATTAAAGATTCCAAAGAAATATTTTATGGTAGAAAAGAAAAATGATTTTGGGTTATTCAATTAGTCGTTTTTTTAGTTTCATTTTTATTTATTTATTTTTCAATTTTATCTTATTTAAAAAAATTATCTTGTATAACTTTAACTTCTCATATAGGAAAATGTATAATTTCATTTTTTTTACAGTTGTACCATTTCAAATTGAACAGTACTACTGTTATTCCGGTTAGATGGAAACTTTATTTTATAACTATTCAAGTTTTTCTGATTTTATCATTATAGTCATGATCCAGGTAGAAGGTTTATGATCAATCGTAATTATGGTGGATGCCCTGTAGATGCCGGATATTCAATTATTGTTATTAATAATGCACTACCTTGTACATACGACATACAATCGTCTTACCCACAATTCATAATTTCTACATCCGCAACTTCTGGCAATCCCGAAGCAATGACAGGTAAAACGAAAACGTAAAACTGTAAATTCTTAAATATTAAAAATAAATATTTTTAAACAATTTTCCAATATAACGTACCTTTATGCACCGGTGCCTTATGAGCAAATCTAAGCCGCCATAGTGATATTTTGTGAAATTATGACGTCATAACGGAAAACTCACTCTCGCGAAGCAGAAATGTACTAGAAGTACTTTTTTTTTTAAATGTCCTGTTATAGTTCGTAAAAAGTTGGCTTATTTCCTGAAACATCTTTTACATTTGTTGCCTTTTGGCAATCGGCAGTTTTATATTGATTTGGATACTACTTTGATTAACTTACATTTTGCTTTTTTTAGGAAACATAATTCCACACTCAGCGCTACTTTCTTCGGGTGTTAAGCATTTAACAACCTCTTAAATCATAAAACGCACCCCGCCTTTGTTTTGTCGTTTCTGGGGCACAATATGCCTGAAAACAATTTTTCTTGGTACGTTTATGTACTTGTTTGTAGCTCTTAAGAATCAATATAGATATGCTGCGAAGAAAATAGTATGCATATATATTTAAAAGTTTTTTTAACATAAAGAATGAAAGAATTCATGCCGTTTTTGTCCGTGAAATATAAGACAATGCGATAATTTTATATAACAATATCACCACTTTTAGGTATCACATCTTACTTTGATGTCTCTACTTTTTCATATACATCTCACTGGGATAGGGCTTCATTTTTTAAAATAGGTATAAGATTTTATTTTTCATTTAGAGGTGATGCATATGCTCACTAAATTGTTACCTATTCAATCAATTTCTTATATATTTCATGTTTAGATTTTAAATGCAAAGGGACTTTGTTTTGTAATGTAAAGTTTGATACATTTGTATGAATAAACAATACTGTTATCTATATATTTTTCTTTCAGGAATGGACAAAGCAGACGTTATGGCCATATTCATAAAATAAAACATGTCGAGGAGAAGTTTAACGTCGTATACTCGTGAATATCTACATGTGCAGAATGAACACTTGTTTAGCTTAAAATGATTATTCAACCAAATCGATGCACAGCTTTATATTACAGCACATCACACCGTGTTATATTCATTACATATTTGTTAGATTCGGTCACCTTTCATGTGTTGATACATCATTAATCATTGAAAATATCATCAAGAAAAAATGTTGTCGTAAGAATCAAAAGACATTTATATATATTACAAATGCGTTTAGAAATTTAGTAACTATTTTCAATTCGAAGTCATTGTATCCTTCCTTTATCATCATCATCATCATCATCATCATCAATATTATCATCATCATCGTCACAATCATCATTGCATATTACCTTTAAATTAAATGAACGCAAGTTTTGTTACATTTAGTTATATTATTTAATTAAATAACACTCTGTTACAATTTTACCTTTTATTTAATCTAAATTGTTATATACTGCAAACAGTTAAAATCAGTAATTTTGAATTTTAACATTGATGAAAGAAACATCGAAAAGTCAAACAAAATAAAGATAAACGTTTGATTTGGGACATTTTAGTAAAAAAAAAAACGTCTTTGGTAAAGGCGAAAATAATGTCGACACCATGCAGAGCTATTCATTAAATGGAACTGTGAATCAAATGGAACACTTATACGATTATTCATAATTATCCCGGACTTAATACAGACAAAAAATAGTAGTACCAAAAAACAAAATGTAATATGTGTATAATGAATAATGAATGAATGTATTTGACATCCAAAGAAAAATAATATATTTTATTTTAGTAAAATTATGATTGAAATGTATGTCTGAAAGTCATGATTTAAATCCCTTACTGATGTACAATTTTAACCTTTTCCGAATTAGTGTCAACAGGTTTACTTCTTTCACTTTCGGTTTCTACACACATAATCGAGTCAAATATTTTTTTTTTTTTAAATATATATATATATATATACATGTATATTATATTTTCAATCGCCGTTTTGATTACCAAATTATTTCTATTTCATCTAAATTATATTAATTCCATTTCCATACAAAATGTCGAAACGTTTTTAAAGCCTAAAATGTCTTTTATTTTTTCATGTCTATCAATATTTGAAGTTAATACAAATGTACATTATATAGTGCTCTTATTTTTTCTCAAACCAATGAAACTAGTTTAACACGTGCTTCCTTTCAGCCCAACAGATTTACGTAAACAAAACTTTAACAAAATTGAAACAGTTTTGAAAATACATTAGTCAGAAGTGCGGAATGTGAAATAATTTGTCATAACGGTAGTTTTAACGTAGAAAAAGAGGAACAAATTTTTCAGATATATTTTTTTTTGTATTTGGATTACACTTTGAAGTTGGTCAGCCAATTACATGACGCCTAGCCAGACTGCGCGGATGTGCAGCCTGGTCTGCCGTTATACAGGACACAATGGCTAAACACGTTTGATTCGAGCAGTGTAAACGTTAGTTAATGTAAATCTTAAGTATAGGATAGACAGGGATTAGATTAGCGAGACTGACAATCATGTACTGTTATAACGATTTGGCCCTTAGAGTATTTGTTCCATTAACTTTAGAAGTGAGTATTGAAAATTGCTGTAGCCGGAAAGATGTTGCATTTTTAATGTCTTTTGAACAGACTCAATCAAACAGAGTGTGCATATTGAATAAATTCATTTTCGTTTTTATTGCTATCAATGGGCCTACCCTTGTCAGACCTTCTCATCTACTGCACGTGTAGATATGAATATAATTATATTATTGTTATAATACCGTAACTTATCGCCATTTATTTCAATGTTCATTAAACATATAATAAATTATTAAGGTAATGCTGACGTCATATATCAGATAACAATTTACGCAACAACTGCCACGTACGCATGGTTTGATCATAAACAATAAGCCATATTATTCATTAATAATCGCATGATTTGAAATTTCTTCTTTGTTCATACTACATTATACTCAGTACACGTTCAATGAGGATTTGAAAACTTTATCGATATATGACAGTGCATTGTTTTCATTCAATTATATAAGAAAAAACACTCAACTTATATATCTCGCACCTTGTATGTATTAGTGTAGTTTTTTTCCACATAGGCTTCAATGGGACAGGCGTAGCAAATAATATAAACAAGTATAATAAATGCAATGAAATTTATTCTCATATTATCAAAAGGTACATCCGCTGAATGAATTATTTCAACTGAAAAATGCCCTTTTATCTTGAACTCCACTTTGTATCAGTTTACAATCCGTCTCTAACATTGGATGTCTTTAAGTTTTCAAGGGTTGTAGATCTTGTCTTTTTCCTTTTTTTTTCCTGTTTTTATTCGTCAGATAAAAAAACTTCAAACAGAAACGCCCTTATTATATTGTAAATTTATTTTGAATTTAAAAGCTTCTACACCTAATTGTATGGTTTATGGTGAGTTAGGCATATTTCCATTACTCTTACAAGTGAAATCAAGAGTTTTGTGTTTCTGGAGTAAAATTATTAATGCTTAGGAAAATAAGATATGTAAACTTCTTTATAAAACAATGTTGTCTTTGTCCTCTAGGAATATTGTTAATTCTAAATGGATAATTTTTGTGAAAGAAACACTTAGTAATCTTAGCATGTCAGAATATTTTCATTTACAGAAGGTAGATAATATTAATCACTTTAAAAATATTGTGAAGCTTAGACTTCACAAGATTGGCATAGTACTATTGATACATCCTCTAAGTGTTTAGTGTATCGTTCATATAAAAATACTCATTGTTTTGAAAAATATCTAGATGTACTTTCTTTTGACATAGGCAAATATTTATGTAAATTTAGAACAATGAATCACCTATTACCAATTGAAAAAGGCAGACTTTTGGCAATAGGCTCTGTTCCTTATGTCCGTATCAAGCTATTGGTGATGAATTTCACTACTTATTTGAATGTTCGTACTTTAATGACATAAGACGTAAATCTCTTCTTCCCAGGTTTTATATTCATCCCAATATTTTTAAACTTGACAGATTAATGAATAGTTGTGATAAAAAGATTCTACTAAAATTATCTTTATTTTGTAAAAACATTATGTTAAAATTTAGATAATTAATACTTCTCATTCTCCGTTCCCATTTGTTACAATGTAAAATACATGTTGTATTGAATTCAATTCAGTACTTGAAATGAACAATATGATCTCCTTTTTTGTTTATTTAGCTAGTCATAATTGTATTCTTTTATTGTGATATTAGTGATTTTTGACTGTTATTTTTCTGTTTGTTTGTTTGTTATAACCAGTTGCATATTATATGCCTTGGTTTAATAAAAACTGAAACAGAAAGTACGACAGAATTAGTTTTATCTCGGGTTTCCATTTGAAACAAAAGTAAAATGGCACAAGAGAGAAAAGTGCACATGGGGTTTTTGTTTGTTTGTTCTTTGTTTGCTTATTTCTATTCCAAAAAATATTAAATTGCGGTAAAACATTTATAATATATGAAATTCGTAATTTACGGGGGTATATTATATACATGTATAACATATATAACATCTCGGGATGTTTCTGCAAAATAATCATCTCGGCCTCAACATTTTTTTTTGCAGAAACTACCCCTCGATGTCGCCCAAGCCAGTGTTACATCCTTGTAACTTACTCGTTCCATAAACTATAACTATTACTAATACATTTGTTACAAGATATTTTAGACAGAAAGTATAACCTCATCTCAACTTATTTCAACTTAATTGGCATACACATACACAATTAATGTCGTTGGCCAAAAAGATATGATACCGCATGAACTATATAGTAACAACATGATCATAATTTAATAAGAGTTCAAAATATATATAAATCATATGCAACATATAAATACGTATTTATTATAAATAATTTATATGTTAAATATTAAATTGTCGGCCATGAAGTTATATTCAGAAATTTCTTCTTAAACTATACAACTTATAAGTAAACAAGATTGCATTTGTGAAAAATGCTATGCCACCGCATTAATACAACACTAAATAGTAGTGTAGGAACAGAAGATTTTTTGTTTGTTTCTATACATGTACAATTGAACTTTGCTATAATACAGTTGAGTCCACAGACACTTGGGGTGTGGAGCTCAAAACGCCTTTAAAGTCCAAATAAAATGCATATTTGTCAATCCCGACACATGTACTGATCATATACAGTATATCAAAAAAACTGAATATAAGCCGTTTTGAAAAAAAATCATATTTCAACGTCTATGATATATCTGTGGTTGAGTCTAGTGAATTTTGTGGTCAGGCCTAAATTTCATAACTGTACATCAAAGGACAAGACAGTGAGTCACTTTGTAAAAATCTAGGTCAACCTCTAACACATTCGCTTCTGTTACCTTGACCTTGAAGTCTGCCTGCCAATGACCCAGCCTCCCGCACCGGAAACAAAGCCCTGGTTTTCGCCCGAGTGTCTGAATCCGAACGCCAACTGAAACTGGAGCAGGCGTGGTAGCCGTCACATGCCTTGATCCTGGATTAACGTAAGGGATAAAACGCCTCGGCTTTAAACGCCTTTCTTGTCTGGCCTTTCGATTCGCCTGCAGCTGTGCTTGATACATTTTCATTTCGTAATCGGATCCTTTCGCATGTGGCTGCGTTTCGTATTCCTTAACCTCACGCCATCCTGGGTCGCTAATCTCTTCTTTTTTTTGACGGTACCTTAAGGTGTCCGTCCATACCTTCAAAAACTTTCTGTGTGGCTGCCTCTGCTTTAGTCGATCCGCTAGAAACCGAGTCGTCGAGCTCGTTTCTTGCTTCAGCCAAACTTCCAAGCACTTTCTTGTTTAGCTTGAACTGTTCCTCGTTTCCCCATTTTCGAAACTGATAATTGTCAAATATATCCAATTTTAGCTTTAATTTTTCAAGCTGAGTTTCTGAGATACGTTTTTGAGCTTCAGTCATTGTTTTCTCAAACTCCGACAATTTATCTTAAACTAAACCATCTATTCTACTCAACAGATCATTTTCTCTCTCGGTATACCATTTTTTGCCACGTGGTTACGCAAACTCTTGTTTGTGACAGGTCTATATTTTTCGGATAGACCTGTTTACACAATAGAAAATCCGTTATGAGGTCTACCTTTTGCATATGCAGAATTCTGATCTTGCCATACAGACCCGGTCATCTTAAAGACATGCCAATGCGCGGACAAAGAAAACATTAAGTGTAATCAGAAATTAAAAATAAAAAGCCATTGATTTTATAGTATCACTGTCACAAAAATCGAGACACAACGTTTTAAACAAGATAATGTTTATTGAATGCAATTAGCAATTATTCCAACATACCTGTATTGTTTTTTTATAATATAAATAATGGACAGCATATCAAATTTAAGACACATTTAACATTTATTTAATCGAGTCATTTTTGAAAGTAATAATAATCTAAGAGGTTCTTTTGGCATTAAATAAGTTCACAATACGACAAAAATGAACGCTGTAAGTTCATTGTTATGAAAATATAACAGTTATCATATTATTACAATTTAAAATCACAAAATCACTAACATCTTAAACGTTCTAGAAATTTCACATAACATA